TTAAAAAATAAATTAAACTAACCTTATAGCCGTGCCTGTTTAAGATAGCTAAATAAATATCAACTTTTCAAAGGGAGGAGAACATGCTTCCCATGTTGTTCATTGACTCAAAGGTCATGCCTCCAACTATTTGGGGATTTGGTGCAAAGAAGAAGATGATCGAATTCAGCAGATGCCTGCGTGGACTGGTTTTGTTCTCATCCTTAAACCATGAACAAGGTTGAACATGGTTTATGCAGTTGATGTGCTATAATACATTTCAGTTCAGTTTATTTGTTTCAAACTTTGTTGGGTCACCACTTGATGGCCAATGTAAAATTTAGGTCTTGAAACAAAGCTAGTTGAGAAGTGCTGCTCAGTACCTAGACTGAAGTAGATTTCTCGCCGAACACCTGAAGGCACGCAGTGAGCGATCTCTCCCGTTCTCTGGAAATAATAGCAGTAGGCAGAATAAGCTCCAAAGATAACGGTGGCAGGGCCAGCCCAGGACGTATTTATAACCAATGCAACACCCCTCAAGCAAATTCCTTTCTTTTAAAAGATCTAAGCACGCTCATACTATTTTCTCTTGAGAGTTCTGATGAAGCTTTTTGACGTTATGACTCGTGTTATACCTTACCAGTCTGATTCAGGTGAGAGTTAGACCAAGTCTGTCGGATTTCAACCAAATAACTCCTGTTGACTGATACAGCAAGCCCAGTTGGAAAGCATGACTGTAACGTGTACACGCGTCTAACAAACTGGAAGACTTCCAGCCTGGTGATGACTGGGTGATTACACCCACACATAATCTGTGCTTGCTAGTCCACAGATTTCCACAGAACTGGAATCCATGCCATTCATAAAATTCTACCAGTCACCACCCTTTGAGTTTTTGTTGATTTATTATTAATTTGTTTATTTATTATTAATTAATCAGATTAGCTAAAATATTTGAGAGTTGTCATAGTTTCATAGTAATTTTTTTTTATCTGTTTAGCAGAATTACACTCGAAAAATTGATGCAAAAAGTGTCTGCCAATTCCATCTGCCCTACTGATGATTTCAACACTGAATCTTCATGTCTTCGGGCGCAAGGTCTCCACGGTCATAGAAAAGTCATGGAAATTAATAATGCACCAAAGTGATTTTTTTTACTTCAACTTAAAAACTTAAAATTTTAAACGTAAAAGTTATTTTTTGAATTAATAAATTAATCAAATTTATTTAATAATCAACAGACAAATAATAACTGAGTTATATATATATATATATATATATATAAATTGCACATAAGGCAGTTTTATATCAGTTTTTTATGATATAATGTTTCTACTCTTTTGAAAAATAAACATTTAAGCTTATTATTTGAATTGCATAATAAAATTTACTAAATTTGAAAGCTAAAACTTTGTTTCATATCAAAAGTAACAAAGCACAACACATATTGTGATTATTGGATGGTAGGTACAATAATGTTTAATTAGCACAATTAGGAAGTGCTAGTTAAATGTCACCTTTTCAAATTACTTTTTGGACGAATATTTTCAGATGCTGAAATTTTGGTTTACCACTAATTGTAGAAGAGAAGTCATCAAAAAGTCAATGACATTTTTTTTGTAGTATGGTGCTCTAAAAAATTTAATTCTCTATAGAATTTCTAAAATCTTACAAAGTCATCACAGCCAACAAGAAAATATAATGGAAATCTTGAAAAATTACTGGTCAAAAGGTGTGTGAGCACATCCTGTGCTGTACAATCCCCTTTTATTTGCAAAATGCTGGTTTAAAATCATGGATTTTTAAAATTGAATTTCATAGTATTGACTCTTTGTAGAAAGAAGACCACAAATTTGTGTTAACTGTAAAAAAAAAAAAAAAAAAAAAAAAAAAAAAAACACCCAGAGGCC